GGGGGGCCACTGAAAAACCAGGGGTGGCACACCAAAACTAATATCTATAACAGAAATTTTACGGTGTGTTTGTAAAAAAAATGACCAATTGAAAGCTATGGCAATAAAAAGCTACGGATTCGCCAACAGATGTTCATTTTGTAATTTCACAGGTAACATCACTGATTTTATGACATTCAGAGACAAAAAAAACAAGAAGGAATATTTGTAATGTTGGGGGGATTCACTGGCGGGGGGTTTGGGGGTCCTCCCCCAGAAAAAATTTAAATAAGTAAATGCCATTTCCTGCATTCTGGTGTATTTTAACAGGTTGTTAAACAGATTTTTACCTGCATAGGAAAACACTTAATGTCTGTTCACGGCCTCTCCCCCACCTGCTGGCGCCCCTGCAAATGAGGGGGCGGAGTTTTCTCTGTGGTTTTGATTTAGGAAATCATCTTTTTCACCACCAGAGGGGGGGATACTCACCTGCCCTTTCTTCATAATTAAACGTTCATTTGTATAAATAAAACACAGGCATGAGTCCATAAATGAGTTGAACGACTCACTCTGTGATTATAAAGGCTTTGCAGAGATACTTATGGTGGCTTTTGGCCAAATAGCCCTAATTTTATCACTTAGATTAAAAAGCAATTTTTTTCCAGGTAGGTCAGAGCTTTGTTGGCCAAGCCGAATTGTTAAAAATCTTTCCAACTGTACGACATTCATCTTTCGCGTGGCCAGCRCCTTCCTGTCTCGAGTTATGACTAAAAGGGTCTGTTTTCAAGCAGAGTTCTCTGCAGTGACTGCACATAAACAGACATCCAGTGACTATATTTGACGCTGGGTACAGTTGGACAGTCCATCGCATTGAATGCGTGAATCTCAGATGTATCAGTGCACTTTACGCAGATAGTGTTCTCACTGGTCTTCAAGATGCACATTCAGAGGAATATATGCAGAGGAATATATGCTACCACCGCCTGTGGTCACAGAATTTGGTGTAACACCGGTATGACTGATAGACTTATTTATCACAGATGGAGTTCCTCATATACCTCCAGCTTTTTCTTTACCTGCCCCATGTTCAGTGTGGTGCTCACAAGCAAGAATGCACCTGTGATACCTTGGCAATCTAATTTCAACTTTTTCAGTACATTTTCAGCAGTCTTTTTACAGAAAATGTAATTTCTCTCATTGTTGTACTCCAATGATGTTCTTGCAAAAACGTTAATGGCTACAGCTGGCGTAGTTGAGCATGTATTTATT